TGACTTGGACATTATTTTGAATTCATTGGTTGTATTGTCAATATTCTCATTTGCCACCTTTTTGGCAAGTCTAGTTGCATTATACATATTGTTTTTGTGTCTTACAGACAGAGCTAGCCTTCAGAAGTGTAAAAGTGGCTCCCTTCTCTGAGGAAAACGTGGAAGACGCAAGTCACGAATTCTACCTGCGCTTCCTGCTCGCGGCAGCGCCTGGGACGACTCCTGGGCTACAACAGGAGCCAGTGAGCTCTACAAGCAGCCAGCCCAACGCACTGTACAGGCTGGCTCCGGCAGTCCAGGCAGGCTGTCATGTGATTGGTCAGGACAGTGCCACAGCAACAACACAGACAGGCCCTGACCAGCCTCCTCCAAATGCAAGCATGCCTCAGGTGACTTTTGTGATGTTATAATGTTACTTCATAGACAAGTTGAAGAAAAAGCAACCTAAGACTAGTTACAATGTTAATATGGCAAGTTTCCTGCCACTACTTGGCCCCTAGGGTGTGCTGTTTAATTCTGAGTTTGGACATTGTGCTGTTGTGTGTTTTCTGCATTAGAGCCAAAAAACAGATCATACCTTTAATCTACCTTAAGTATCCAAATGGTAAACGATATTTATCAGCTTAACAACAACAATATTCACATCATGTAACATCATTGATGGAAAGATGGCCAGGTCAACATTACATCCCAATTATGCATGATCAATGAGCAGTCCTGTCAAAATCTGCTAATTGAAGACATTAATTGGTTTCTTAGGTCCATTGAAATATATCTCATCTATCCCTTAGTCATAATTCATTGGGGCACCACAGAAGATCTGGCAAGTTTTTTTTTAGTATCATGATGCTCTAAAAATAGTCAGTTGCCAAGGACAGGCATTTTTTAGGAACTTTGTACATATGGCCCATGAGGCAATACTTGCTTTTAGCACTTGTTGCTAGGGACATTTTTAACATGATTCAATTATATGGTCAGAGCTTTTGCTAGCTATAAATTTTGTTTCCCAACATCCCAGTTTTGCATGAGGGAAATGTCGTTGGGACAA